AACGTGGCTGGCTGTGTGTGAAGAGTTGGTAAACCCCGACAGGTAATCTCACTGTCTTCAGGGAACCGATTTATCCTCCTGCCTGGAGCTGACACTTTTTTACGTAACATTGCTACAAACACAAGTAAGGGATAAAGGGACAGTTGCCTGAAAAGGGATGTGCTGTCTGCTCAAACCATCTTTCTACCCGTTTCTTGGTTTCCCTCATACTTCAAATGTATGCATTTATTTTCTTGTGACTCTCCTAGTCTGTAACAGAATAGTCCCGCTGCTATGTAACCCTTTATGTAACTCTTTCCTGCCTGTTTTTATTTTATATGCCAATAAACCAGGACACGCTCTTGTATATCACAGTCATTTCATCCTGCCCCAGAGGTGTTTGTGCGTGGGACAGATACAGATTTTCACATCTGTCTCATTTTCTTTTTCTGGTGAGTGTTGAGGTTCTAGTTTCATTACACGATTCTACAGAACATAATATTGGAAGTATCAAAAGGAGCATCAAGGTGCTACAAAGTGCGCTATACAGTTACTTATCTGGAGATGAAGATACCCAGGGGTGACTGAGGCTTGCTGCAGGTCACACAACTGAGCAATGATCAGATAGAAGTTACTTTTCCGAGAGGAAAAGGAGGTGAAAAAAATGCCTGTTTTAAAGAAATAGTATACGACCTATGACTGACTTCTACTAAAACTAATGCCTTCTTGCAGCGATTTATGTTTCTGGCATATTGGACTGTATCCCATCTAGTGAAAGGGTTTCTTTGCTAGTCTTGACGTTCGTAGGTATACAACATCCCGAGTGTAAGAATAGCAGATTTTCACTTGTTCGGTACTTGATTTCCTTTTTTTTAAAACAAACAAACAAACAAACTAATAGTAGTATCTGTCCCTTAAGACTAGCTCTGGAATCAGGCTGCTACGCAGGATCATTTAAGCAAAGGAAGAGTTAAACAGGCTGGGAGAGGCGTAGCACTGTTGACTCTGCAGCACTCCAGACTGTCAGCAGATGTTTTGCCAGGCATGTAGATAGCAGCTGCCCAGCCTGAACAGGAAGGAGTGTCAGCATAAGGATGGATATTAAGGATTTGGGGACAATGAAATTGGTGCAAACCTTGTGTAATGAAGGTATTGCAATATGTTAGAACCTGTCAGTTTTCAACTGAATTGCATAATATTTATCTGAGAACAGTAGTATCTTAACTGTGGAGGAAGAAGAGATGGGGGATGTCCCATGCTCACATTTACTTCTGTTTACTGTCTCAAATGTTACCCATATCGATAGCGCAAGAACTGTGTTGCCTTAGACACGCAATGACCTTGCTTATGTAGCTTCAAGTTCAGCAATAGATTATAAATATATATTTACAGATTTCAGCATCTTCCCCCGTTTTGTGTGCATGATTGAAGAATGAGTTAAATCAGAAGTGCATCCCTCTCGGTATGATAATGAGCGAAGGGCGCTGTGTGCAATATTACCACCGCAAACTGCTAAAGCGTTCATCAAGTCTTACTAGGGGGAGCGGGGAGAAAGGTGGTGTGCACTTTCTTGTCTTTAAAACCCGGAAAATAAAATACAAACTTAGATTCGAATAAAAAATCTAAAGTGTGAAACAACAAAACATAATGAAATTGCGTGTGACTCTGTAGTTGAAGAGAAGTCATATTCAGCAATGCTTGGCAAAACACTAAGAAAAATGAAACACCTTATCCAGCTGAAACAATGAGGGAACATAATTTTCCTACCTGAATTGGACTAAGCTGCTGGCATGGGAATTCTGTATCCTAAAAATGACATGCAATTATGGAGCAATAATAATAATTTTAGTATCTTCCCTGATTGTCAGGAGAAATTATATTTGGAATTCAGTGCTGCAAGGTCTTGAAAGTTTTTTCTGTTTGAAATGCCTTCATTTCTCAAGTAAAACCTTCTCTTTGGGAGCTATGGCGACTGTAACATGAACGCAGGCAGAATTTTAATGGCTCTATTCAGCCTGAAGAAAGGCATCACGGAGTGCAGATCTAGTTCCCTTACAAATTATTTTTCTGAGTTTGGGTTTAGGTTTTTTAACGCTCTGTCATATAAAAATGCAGTGTTCTTCAAAGTGCAGTTTTTGCTGAACCATTCTTCGGCAGCAAATGTATACTTCACCATTTTTATCTTTCTGGCCATTTCCAAGAATTTCATAATGTGTTTATGTATTACTATATTATCTTCGATATTTATTCAAGTGGTAGCAAATAGATAAGCAGAAAGGTAATTAGCTGGATTTTAGATCTGCTTTTGATATATTTTTGTATCGTAGATGCAAGTTGGTTTTTAAAATGTGTTTTCTTTTGTTCCGTGATTTTAAAAATTATGAGGGGAAAAGGTAATTTTAAAAGCGCTTTAATTGCAAGCTGACGTGACAGTGGTGGCTGACGTGTTTTGTGGGAGAATCCTGTGACACAATGTGCTTGTCATCAGTACCGAGATGAACAGTATCACAGTTTGGCGTGGAGCATGTGCTTTGTGAGTTTGTTTATTTAATGTATTTGATGGGGTAGTCACAATGTGTGAAGCATCTGCCCCTTATCTGTGGCAGAGATCAAAACAGGAACTTAGCGAACTTTGTTTTCTGGGTAAGACTTTATAAAATGGAGTTAGGCCTTCTCGTGATTTTAACAGGAAGGTGGTTTGCTGAGCCAGGAACGTTTCCTTCAGAATTTCAGAGAATAGTTGGTAGAGCACTGTACAAAGAGAACCCTGACCCACGTGGTCTGCAGTCCTGGTCTAAAAGCGATCATACCAATGGTCTCGGTGTATATCACCAATTCCAGTGTAAGTTGTGGAGCAAGGATATAAAACACATCACGTTATTCCAGAGGTTGAGGAACTGTGATCCTCCTCTGACATACATGTGCCTTTATTTCCTAATGAAATGAGTCAGGCCTGAGACTTTTCCATTTCGGGGTTAGATGCGTGAAAATTAGCCGAGGACGATGAGCACATGATGAGACGTACGTTCTTTATTTACACTCTCACCACATGCGTCCTTTGATACAATGCAGAGTATTCCTTTCTCCTGGTTACTTTCCTTTTGGTGTTAAAAACCTGGAAAATACTACATGTCAACTCCCTTGGGGTGTCATCATTCTTCGCTGAAATTTTTAGTGACAGTTAAACTGTGTGCTAGGTTCAGCCACACGATGAATTAGAAAACTGCAGTTTGATGATGAAAGCCACCTTGTTCAAATTTAAAGTAGATCGTGCAGTAGGTACATCTCTAGAGTTTGTATCATTTTACATGTCAGTGTAGAACTGCCCTTAAATCATACCTAATTCTAGTTTTTCTAGCTAAATAGAAGGAATTTCTTCTGTGTTATTTCAACTGATTAAATAACCCCGCTCCTTCAAAATGTTCTTGCCCTGTGTTAGTCTCTCTTCTATTACATCTAAATTAGCATGCAAGGTCAATCAAATCCTATCAAGAAGGAGGGGGGTTAAATTTCAGTTTTCCAAGCTACAGTGCTGATCAGTGGGGCTTAAAACAGAGGGAGGTCTTTTCCTCTGAAACCAACCTGCTCAACTGCAGTTAAGTATTCACATGGCCTAACAGCCTCCTCACTGTGGTCTTTGAACGTTGCATGAATCTTACTAGGTTTAAAATAACTTCCTGCCAGAGAAACATGTGACAATCAAGTTTTGGTGGTGGTTTTTTTTTTTTTGTTTGTTTGTTTGTGTGGGTTTTTTTTTGTTTTGTTTTTTTTTTTTATTGTTTCCTTTTTTAACATTTACACTTGTCTGGGAAATAGAAACTTCTTACAGTAAGTGAAGAAAGTGAAACACTGAGATGTCAACAAACGTAAGAGCAGAAGAACAATCCTGGTTTCTGTTGAAAATGTTTGCTTCAGTAAGCAAACTTCCTGAATAAGGGAAGGCAAGGAAATACCTTGCTACCTTGTTGATCTAGTCACTTGATTTCTGTTCAAGAGGAGCACTTTTGTGAATACAGTGTACAGGATGAGGAAACAAAAAAAAAAGTTTTTATTGTAAAGCTAATTTTTAGAGCTTTCAAAACATTTTATGTATTCCTCTGCAACATACATCAAATGACTGTCCCTGTTTTAAAAAGCTAATGATGTAAATATGAGTAGGCAGGATAAACCAAGTCAAGGTGGACAACACCGATCGATGCTAATTGCAAGGCATGAATAAACGTTAGCCACATTGGTGTTTTCCTTAGCCAGTAACAAGAGTGGATTTGTCAGTGCATTGCAGAGCAAGTTTACAAAAGCACTTGGAGTCTGCGGGTGCTTCTGTGAGGCCTTGAAAAACATTTGAAGTGATTGTTATCAGGAGACTGAGGTGAGAAAGGGAAGTAAAAGTAAAGCATGAAGATTGAATGATCTGATTTTTGGGTATGGGTTAATGGAATTCAGGCATTATGGGGAATTGGGTTCTTTTGGGTGTTTTTCTTTGAAGAAGTAGAGCGTTCTGGCTACATTGTTCTGTCTCAGTATTAGGAACAAATGGTGGAAAAGGTCAAACTAGAACTTAATTGGAGAAAAATGGACAGTTTTTATAGAAACTACTAGATCTGAGGGAATTAAAGGATGATTAGAGCTAAATGATCTTACGATAGTTCAGTCAGTTTTACAGATTGCACTTGCACTGAATTTTCTCAGCTTAGTTCAAAACCAAGGGAAAGGATATGGGCAGCTGCAGTGAATGTGCTCTCTTGAATTAGAGACAGTGTGTACTGTTTGTTAGGCGTTAGTCTGGGTCAGATGTTGAACCAAAATGTGCTCTAAGCATGCAGCGGGAGCTAGGAGGGTGTACTTCTTACCTAAAGAGACAGGAGAATTGTTTCCTCTCTTGAGAATTAAATTGCAAGATTCTGAAACCACCAGTGGAAAAGTTATTTTTGGTTCTGTAAAAGAAATAAGCTGGTATGTATGCACCGATCCGTATTTTAAAAGCTGGGGTTTTTTTCCAAAACAAGGATGGTGACAGTATTTTACAAATTACCTTTGACAGTAGTACATTTTGTGAATCGTCTCGACATTATTGTTCTCCTTATGGGCTTATACTGACCTCTTCTATTTCTGCAACACCCTGCTGTGAAAGCAACCGTACAGCAGCAAAGGAAGATGAGAGAAGAGCAAAGCACAACAGGAATCAACCAGACACCCAAAGCCGCAGCTTCCCAAGCAGGCACCTCATTATCTGAAGTGTAATTCCTACCACTATAGCCTTTGGTTTCATTTAAGTGTTGCTTACTGCTGTTCAGACGAGGAGGAGTGTGCATGTGGGATGATACCTCGGCAGACTTGGGTATCGAAGTTGAGCGTACAGTCTTTTTGTCTGAGCTGGTGATTGACCTAGTGCTTACTGAAGTTGTGCTTGTCCTCTTAGCAAAATGATCATCCAGTAGGAAGGTTTCCGAACTGGAATAAGTAGTAACTTCCGTTTTTTGGACCATCAGGCTTGTGCTGGAGGTGTAGGTGTTCGCTGTTAAGCCCCGGCTAGTGCTAGTAGATGGAGCTTGGAGCAGAAGAGAACTTGATGTGGCATCATGATGTTGACATCTCTCCCAGTCAGTGGTCCTTGTGCTGTTTTGCCTTTCATATTGAATAGATGAGTGAGTATTTGGCTCTTTGGGTGTCAGTCTTTCAAAAATAAGAAGATCTGGATCAATCCCTATGAAATCATAAACGGTGTTAGTCTGTGCGCTAAAAGCTCATCTGCACCCCCACAAAAGAGCACAGGGAGAGAATGGCAGGTTGGGGAGCCCAAATAATACCCATCAACACCTTTTGGACTGGGGTTGACACTGCCTAGGGTTATGGGACACCTTATGGGATGCCAGGGAAGTGCATTTTGGGATCACAGAGGACTTGCTACAGGATGCTTAGGGAAGGAAACAAAGGTAAGGAAAGGGAGGGATCCAGGCTACTGGAGTACAGGGGAGTCCTGGCCAGCTCTGTGTGTGTGTGGCAGTCTGCACCAGCAACTGGAGGGGGGCTGTGCCCTCAGGGGGCCATACACGCAGGTGTCGGCAACTGGGGAGACTGGGGCCCAGAGGCCAGAGCTACTGGGCAGGCTGAGCATGAGCCCAGCTGCCGGAGGGAGCTGCACTGTACGTATGTGTGTATATATATATATTTCAGTAGCAGACCTCCATCCAGAGAAAGCAGGAGGAGGCTCTTGGTGCTGCCTGTGCGTGTGTGTCTGTCTCTTGTGTTCGTGTAAGTTGTGTAGCTGGCCGTGTATGTAAGACTACTGGTGGTATACATGCGTGCTCTTTGTGCATGCTCCTAATGGGAATACACTTTCAGCCTTGCTACTGTTTGGATCTGGGAACATGGAGCAGTGGCAGCCTTGCTTCAGTCTGTCCTATCTGGTATGGTATTTTCCCTGAGCATAGAATTGATTAGGTACTGAGAACATGAATTTTGAAAGTAGGGTGTATCTTCAAGGTCCTTTCTCAAATACGGAATGGAAAAAAGGGAAAAGTATTCTCAGAAGTAGGTATATTAATGAAAAAGGAAAAAAGTCTTACACTTTTTTAGCATTGCATGTTACTTCATCTCTAGCACAGCAACTGACCTGGTGTGTTTTTAACTTTTCCTATAGTTGTTTTGTGACTTGGATGAGGGGATCAAGTG